TTTTTTTTTGGGGGGGGGGGGGATTTCTTGCAATTCATTTAATTATTCCTGTCTGGGTCCATGTCGATGGCCGAGAAAATTAAGTTTATTCCCTTTTTTCCTACTCGTGTTCTGAAAGAAAAATCAGTTTTACGACCTAAAGTGTAGTCAAAATAATGCAAATGGCTTCCTAATACTATATCGATGTTAATGTTTTCCCCAAAGTCTCAAATGCAATAGAGAATTCAGGAGTGCAAAGTTGACCACGTATGGTTTAATTTCATTACAATGGCCATCAGCATTGAAAGATCTTGCACCTAATTAACTCAGGTAGCTCGTACCCCGACGATTGTTCAACACAATATAAGGATATAACTGTTGGGATCGAAATAACATGGTGCATGTATTGGGGAAAATCAAGTTAACATATGGAATTAATTATGTGCTGACATGTCAAGACACGTGGATCAATGAAAGAGTGACAACTGACGAAGAGTATTCGAAGAGACGCAAGCCTTAATAGGTACATGCATAGATTCAAGAAAACAGGAAGGAACGATTACTCGAACCTCTTGGTAATTTGAAGAGACATCGGAAGAATAAACCTAGATAGCAAAAAGTACAGATACGTACTATCCGTAATTAATGAGCATCAGTGTTGGAAAATGTTACAGAATATTCACGAAACAATTACGATTGCTAATTATAACGTTACATTAATGTCATTAATTGCTCATAATGGCTCTGTTGTGAGAGGAAAGAAATGTATTAATTAGAAATAGCTATAAAAGGAGAGGAATAAACATTTATAAGGACACAGAATATTATTGGAATACACTAATTTACTTTGCTTTCTTTTATTTACACAGCTATCGATTAAATCAATTTTACTTATTTGTTCCATATTTGATTATCAGTAACCCGAGTTCTTCTAAAACTAATCTTTGACCGAAATTCCTATTTTCTGGTTAAACAATGCATGCAGAAACTAACAATATAAAGCTTGGTGGACGATAAACCAGACGACAAAAGAAAAATATATTAAACTAAGCATAATAGTTTATAATGATTTGGTCAATTGATCTACATATGATAAAACTAATATAAAAGAAGAAAAACTATCGAGAGAAAAATCTCCCCCTAAACAAAACTCTTTAACGACTACATTGTGGATATTTTTTGTTGTGCTCTTGTGAGAAGTAGAGATCCTTAATTTATAGATGTGCAAAACTTGTCTTCCAAGAAAAGGATAAAACATATTAAGGAAATTTAATCCTTTTATGAGTCTTTTTCTATTTCTTAAAAAAAAAAGAATCCTAATAGATTAGAAATTCAAGGCAAATCCTAACAATAACCAGGGACGAATCTAGCAATAAGAGTACCGCGATCATATAAACTCAGTATGTCCGACACGAAATATTTAATTTATTGTAAAAATTACAACAATAATAGATATAAACTGATAATTTTAAATATATAAATATAATGATTAAACTCATAGAACTTATGTATCCATTTTTGGATATAACAACTGATTCCCTCAGCTAACGTGAGAGGTTTAATACTTCTTGTACGCTTAAGACTGAAAATTTGGAGCGTGAGTAACATAACATAACATGAAGGTATAACATTGGGTAAACGAAAAATAAGAATTAGTTTGATACCATTCAGTCTTCCAACAAACGACACTCAAGACAACGTCAGACGACACCCTAACCACGACGTACTATTAAAATTAATGAAGGCGATAGCCTATTTCAGTCATATGGGCTCTTTATTTTTATTTTTTTATTTGTGATGTGGGGTTTGTGACATTATAAAAGGCAGCTATAAATTACTTAGAACAACATCCACCAAGATCAGCTTCCTTTCCTTCCTGCTGGCTGCTGAACAAATGGAGATTTACTCCTCCTCTGTCAACTTAGTTTCATTTCTCCTCTTCTTCTCCTCCCTTTTTATTATAGTGCTAGTTAGAAAATGGAGAAATTCAGAAACCAGTAGCCAAAAACAAAGGTTGCCTCCAGGTCCATGGCGACTTCCACTTATTGGAAGTTTACATCACTTAATCGGAGCACATCCACATCGCATTTTTAGAGATTTAGCTCGAAAATATGGTCCTGTTATGTACTTAGAACTAGGGGAAGTTCCTACAGTGATCATATCATCACCTTCTGCGGCAAAAGAAACTTTAAAAACTCACGATCTTGCCTTTTCTAATAGGCCACAGTTTACATCCACATATATTGTTATGTACAATAATAAAGACATTGCGTTTGCAGAATACGGTGATTACTGGAAACAAATGCGAAAAATTTGTATTATGGAACTTCTAAGTGCAAGGATGGTCAAATCATTTAGCTCGATTCGAAAAGATGAGCTTTCGAGTCTCCTTTCATCAGTTCAATCCGTTAAGGGTACTTCTGAAGTCAATATGACAGAAAAAATTGTTAGGTTTGCGAGTTCTGTGACATGTCGATTAGTTTTTGGAAAATTAGGCAAAGATCGAGAGCTGTTGATTGAATTGATGAAAAAAACGCTGTTATTAGCAGGAGGAGATGTGGGTGATTTGTTCCCTTCGTGGAAGTTACTTTACAAAATGAGTGGAGCAAAATCAAGATTGGTAAAAATGCATCAAGAGGTTGATTCAGTTCTAGATAACATAGTTAATGAGCATATTAGGAGTCGAGCAGACGGGAACAAGGGAAATGGTGAGTATGGAGGTGAAGATTTGGTTGATGTTTTCCTAAGAATTCAGGAGAATGACCAACTTCAATTTCCAATCACCAATGACCACATAAAAGCTGTGATTTTGGTAAGTAATTTGCCACCATCAACGTCCCCTGCATTTCTAGTAAAAAGGTATACTAACTAAATAATTTGTATATCACAGGTTAAACAATACTTTTTTTATACTGACCGTGTATATAACTTAAATCCCCAGTTTTGTACTCTAAGCAAGCACAGATCGTCTAGTTTCACGAACCAAATGAGGACTAAAGATTTATGTTGTCTTGTCCATAATCACCTTACGAATAGTTCTTCCCTATAACTAGTGGCATCGACCTCTTTTAGTATTGAATGATCCTAACAACACAAATATGGTTTGGAGAAAGATTACTAGTCCGAGGGTAAAATTTAAACTTGTGTTTGATCCATTCCAATTTTCAGGTAGTAATTAGATCTTCCTCATGCTAATTATGTGTAAAGATGGAATCAGATAGTTGTTTTTGTCACTAACTTCTTCTTCTCTGTATATTATAAAGGGTCAAATCTATGTCAATCCCATCTTGATGATTAGGTTAGTGGTTCTAATTTGACAAAATAAAAATGATAGAAGTTAGGGAGGACTCTTAAAAAGAGTACAAAATGCATATATAATCATCATTCAAATGTATATAGCTAAACAGAGATGTAAGGTGCAACTCTTCTCATTGCATTATTCTGATGTTGTTATTTATTATGTTGATGTAGGACATGTTTACTGCTGGAACTGAAACTTCATCTACAGCTATTATTTGGGCAATGTCAGAACTGATGAAGAACCCAAATGTCATGGCCAAGGCACAAAGTGAAGTGAGACAAGCCTTCAAAGGGAAATCGAGTTTTGATGAAGAAGATCTTGATAATTTGCCGTACCTAATGTTAGTGGTTAAAGAAACATTAAGGCTACACGCTCCAAGTATATTGCATAGGGAATGTAGGGAACAAACATGTATTGATGGATATACAATACCTTCTAAGGCCACAGTACTAGTTAATACATGGGCAATTGGAAGAGATCCAGAAGTTTGGAACAACCCTGAGAGTTTTATACCAGAGAGATTTGAAAATTCTTTTATTGACTATTTGGGAAATCACTTTGAGTTTATTCCATTTGGTTCGGGAAAAAGAATTTGTCCAGGAATGCAGTTTGGTTTAGCTAATTTTAGATATCCTTTGGCTCGGCTCCTCTACCACTTCAACTGGGAGCTTCCATATGGAACTAGTCCGAAAGATTTGGATATGAGTGAGAAACCTGGAATGAGTGCAGCGAAAGAGAAAGATCTGTACGTAATTGCCAAAAACGATGAGTGTTTGGATGTCATGCTTTAGTTTGGTGTTTATTGGTGTCTCCCTTTTGTATTTGAAGTTTTCCCAGAAAATTAGCAAAGAATAAGCTTCAAACTGGTTTTACATTTTTGGTTCAAAATGTCAGATCAAAGAATCTGTTATGCTATTTGTGTAGTATGTAATAATTTGATCACATTTTGTTTCTCTTTTCTTTATGTCATAGTTTTTGGTCCACATTGATATCCCGGATTTACTTGACGCGGAATTATATCTAACCAAGTCACCTAAAAGTGAAAACTTTGGTTGACAATCCAATACCAAATTAGTGTAGTTCACTCAAGGTTGTTAAATTGATACTTTGATCAAAACGGTACAGCTAAAACTTCTTTTCATATATGTTGGCTGCAAATTTACCAATACTCAGAATTACCAGATTGACCCCTTGTTGTAAACTTAAAGGATCATATTCTTCTTATGTTTGGAGGAATCTTTTGCAACTTTTGATACATGCCAGCAATATGTAATGGTTATTATTAGTTAAACAATACTGCATATTTGGAAAATCTAAGGCTGTTTTAATACTTTGGAGATAAGCATCACTGCAGGATAATAGCAACAATAAATCAAGGGAAAACTGAAGTTGAAACTAAAAGCTAACGATCAATTGAATGAAAGAGCCAGTTCAATCTATTGAACACATGACAAGTCCAATGAACAATCTATTGATCGCGTTACACGCTAAGAAACTTCTGTGATGAATTAAAATTGGCATTTCAGAGCTCACTCATGCAGTTGCGAGGTAAGAAAGAACCTATGATATTCACTAGTTTAGCTTAGTATATTTGAAGCTAGAAGGCTACTGAACTTTCTCAGTATTGGAACCATGCTTTACTGTTCCAGTAGTAGTTATCTCAAGTCATGCCATAACCCTGGATTGAACAATAATGATGAACAACTCTGGAATGTAAAGGCAAAATATACAAATATAACCTCGGGGACCACTTAATTATTGATGATAAATCATCTGACTTATTACAATAAAGGAAGATATAAATTCTCTGCTAACCTGTGTCGCACTTATACCATTTTAATTTCTCTTCTGTTTAGGAAAAAAATGAAAAAGAAGTTAGCAGATCAAGGGCACAAGCGATGTGCTACTCTACAAGACTTTTGTGCTATTCAAAACAAGAGCTTCTCTATCGTACATTGTTTAGAGGACATTTAATTTACAGTTGATGTTTCAGGGTCAGTTAGCTGTGCAAAACTACAGAACTCATCAATGCATTTTGTGACACGAATCCAGTTTCAGGCCATTTATAGGACTGCTGAGAAGTTGCAGGAACAATATATTCCCAATAGACATTACCACCTTGTCAGCACTAATTTTCTTGTAACAACAGCAGTGTGACCAACAACAATAATCCCATAACCAAGAAAGAGGGCCCATAAACTTGAAATGTTGGTATTCATTATTGTCTGAAACATTTCCGCAAGTTTGTCCTTAAACTTATTGTTTTTCTAATTCTATGGTTTCCCCTGAAGTTTACTGATTCTACTTTATTACAAAAGTTGAATATACTAGGAAGCCAGTTGTTTCTAAATTGGTTGACAAATGATCGGGCACTAACATGGAAACTAGAAGTGCAACACATCAGTCATATTATACTAACAAACTCAACTGCGGAGTAGCGTTTGTGAATCTGCCACAGAATTTGCAGTTTGAAAATCGACCAGCACTTAATATAAATTAATGAAACAGAATAGAACTCTGCCAAATTTACTAAGGTATGTATTACATACTGATATCACTCATCAATGACCAAAAAAAAACTTACAACAAGTCACCTTTCTTTGTAAGGAGCATTGATCAACTATGAGCATATAAAAAACTTCATTTTATTCATCTAAAAAGGGTTGCACCTGAGATCATCTTGATCACAGGATGCCTATGTACCCCCAACAAATCCTAAAGAGGGATCAAGCCCACACGTAGTTCTTTACATATATAGTATTCGACTGTATTTTTTTAACTAAGAAGGGGCTGCACCTGATCATCTTGGTTGCAGGCTGCCTAGGTACCCCACTAACAAATCCTAAATAGGGATCAAGCCCACACGTAGTTCTTTTACATATTATTTTACAAATCAATTATCAATCTGAGTATCTACTTTCAGTATCGCCAGCAGCCTTCCGCAAGTTCCCTTGTCTAATTTCTTCAGATTCCCTTCTCTGATTATTGCATCAATGTCCTATGATCAGATCACGGTTATGTGGTTGTATCTTGAATGCTATCTTCTGCTGCGGTCTGCGTAAAATGATCTTTATCTTCATAGCTGTCTTTGTTGTTGGCTGGATATTGTCTTCTACTTTGGATGACGGATGGTTCAATAGCATGTCACCTGTACAACGTGAACTGGGATTCTTGAATGCTATCTTCTGCTGCGGTTTGTGTAAAATGATCTTTAGCTTCTTAGTTGTCTTTGTTGCAGGCTGGACATTACTGTCTGCTACTTTGTATGAATTCAGAAACGGATGGTTCAATAGCATCTCCGCTGTCCAATGTGAAGCAGGATTCTTGACTAGACACCTCTTCAAAAAATCTTGTGCTTCATTCGATAACTTTGCGTTCTGAAACATTGGTTCCTCAAACCCGATTCTGTATAAAACATTCGAATCTTGACTATCTTCATATGATTCCCACAACGGTGTCCCCGTCATTAACTCGTAGACAGTGCAATCGAGAGCCCATATATCAACTTCTGGTCCGTACTTTTCGTCAACCACGGATTCTGGTGCCAAATACCTTTCAGTTCCCCTCAGTCCATGCTTTTCTACCCTAGTCTGTTTCAAAGTCATAGATGTTGAATATGTCTTCATCCCATCTTCATCCCACATCGGTGGGGGACTTGTATTTGGGGGAGAATTTCTCCCTATAAAACGNTTTTTTCCTATAAAAGGAGGCCTAATGTTTAGGATTTAAACACTCCTCTCATTTGCCTTCTTATCTTCTTAAGGCATTTGTATCTTCTCTCTTTAGTATTATTTCACTTGTATTTTTGGAGTGGAATAAAATATTAGTTGTGTCCAAGGAAGTAGGCAAAAATAGCCGAACCTCGTAAATTCTGATGTTCCTTTTATTGTTGCTTTATTGTCTTATTTATTATTTGGTAGCTGTCATAATTTTTGGGTATAGTAGTTGTGACTCATTCACACTATATACATTTGGCTTCCGCAACAATTGGTATCAGAGCCAAGGTACTGTCTAAGTATGCTCTGTGGTTTCAGCATAGTCTGATCTTCCACATCAAAAAAGATTTATCTTGGTAATTGAGTCAAGGTTCTGTCTGAGTATGCTCTGTGGTTGCAGCTTAGTCTGATCTTCTACACCAGAAAGGAAATAATCTTGATTTGTGTCGTCAGCTATTAAATAATATTTGTGTCAAATATGGGAGACAATAAACAAGAAGAATCTACATCAAGTGTCAACAATACGTCATCATTGGCATCTTCGCTTATGACAAGAATTGTGTCAAATGCGAAATTTGCGGTAGAAATATTTGACGGGTCCGGACATTTTGGGATGTGGCAAGGCGAGGTTCTAGATGTCCTTTTTCAACAAGGGCTAGATCTGGCCATTGAAGAAAAGAAACCAGATGTTATTGGAGAAGAAGATTGGAGAATTATCAACCGTGTTGCTTGCGGTACCATTCGATCCTACCTTGCTAGAGAGCAGAAATATCCATACACAAAGGAAACTTCTGCAAGTAAATTATGGAAAGCACTGGAGGATAAATTTTTGAAGAAAAACAGTCAAAATAAATTGTACATGAAGAAGAGACTGTTTCACTTCACCTATGTTCCTGGTACCACGATGAATGAACATATCACCAGTTTCAATAAGTTGGTCACAGATTTGCAAAATATGAATGCAACTTTTGATGATGGTGACTTAGCCTTGATGTTGTTGGGGTCACTTCCTGATGAGTACGAGCACCTTGAAACCACTCTAATCCATGGGAATGACGAAATTTCTCTCAGAGAAATTTGTTCGGCTTTGTACAGCTATGCACAAAGAAAGGGAGAAAAACAGAAGGGCGGAGAAGAAGAAGCACTGATTGTGAGGGGTCGTCCTCAAAATCAAACGAGGACAAAGAAAGGAAGATCCAAGTCAAGATCTAGACCCACACAGATGAATGTGCCTTTTGTTGAGAAAAGGGGCACTGGAAGAAAGACTGTCCGAAGTTGAAGAATAAGGCCAAACATAACAATGGAAAGGCCATTATGGATTCAAATGTAGCTGATGGTGATGATTCAGACTTCTCATTAGTTACAACAGATCCATCAACATCATCAGACATATGGTTGATGGACTCGGCTTGTAGCTATCATATGTGTCCCAACAGGGACTGGTTCGTGGATTTTCAAGAAGGAGAATATGGAGTCGTCCACACAGCGGATAACAGCCCTCTTACCTCATATGGCATTGGTTCAATACGATTAAGGAACCATGATGGAATGATCAGAACATTGATAGATGTTCGATATGTACCGGATTTGAAGAAGAATCTCATCTCTGTGGGAGCCCTAGAATCAAAAGGGTTCAAAATCATTGCAGAAAATGGAGTGATGAGAGTATGCTCCGGTGCACTAGTGGTAATGAAGGCTAATCGGAAGAATAATAATATGTACCGCTATCGTGGCAGTACAGTTATTGGGACAGCGACAGTGACATCCAGTGACGACAAAGAGGCAGAAGCAACCAAGCTATGGCACATGCGCTTGGGACATGCTGGAGGAAAATCCTTGAAAACTCTATCAGATCAAAGATTGTTAAAAGGAGTAAAGACTTGCAACTTGGAATTTTGCGAGTATTGTGTCAAAGGGAAACAGACAAGGGTTAAATTTGGTACAGCAATCCATAATACTAAAGGCATTTTGGATTATGTACACTCTAATATTTGGGGTCCTTCCAAAACACCTTCATTGGGTGGGAAGCACTATTTTGTAACCTTTGTTGATGATTTTTCCCGAAGAGTGTGGATGTATACAATGAAGAGCAAGGATGAAGTGTTGGGAATTTTTCTCAAATGGAAGACGATGGTGGAGAATCAAACAGGCAGGAGGATCAAGTATATTTGCACAGACAATGAAGGTGAATACAAAAATGATCATTTCAATAAGGTCTGTGAAAATGTTGGCATCATCCGACACTTCACTGTCAGGCATACAACACA